AAAATTAACTTTTGAAGTGTATGCATGCCTTCAGTCTGTTTGGGAGTTCGCCACTAGCTAATCAATGAAGATAAACAGCTTTGCTCGATGACTATAAATTGTCACATTGTCATCGGAGTTTGTTTTAGGAGGTGTAGGGTTTGACATAAACTGCGGTGTTCGGCTAATCAGGACAAATTTATACGAAAAGGATGTCGCACCTGTTAAGGTAATATTTTCTCACAGCTTTCAAAATCAAGGTGTTGTCTTTCTGGTGCTCGTGTTCCTTTCCTCTCTTGTCACATTTTGTTACAGCTCCTCTTACCTCTTTGTTACAGCTGAGTGACTGTTTAGGAACAACTAACACAAGCGCTTTTTGACTACATTCCTGTGGGCGTCGGATCCCGTGGTGCTATTCCAATGTCAGCATCTGATCTTGTAGAGTAAGTATTTTTTAAAATCTCATCTCTTACATATTCCTAGCTTAAAATTATTAGTTGCCTGGAAATGGGCATGGACTGGACTCTACGCGAGGGCTACTCATGGGCCGAAGACAAAGAACATTGCGAAGAATACGGTCGAATGTTACAAGCAGACGCCACAAAAGTTTCGACGAGAGCTAAGAAGCGAGGCCTCCCGCAGGCATTTTTTTATGGCTTTCACCATTTTTATTCCAATTTGCAATTTGCATTTATAGTTGGGTACATTGGGTGCAGGGAATCATTATGCTGAAGTTCAAGTCGTAGATGAAATTTATGACAAACATGCAGCAACCAAAATGGGCATTGGAGAGCAAGGTATGATTGAATTGAGGTTCTAACGTACAAGTCAACCAAATATTTTTTGTAGGCCAAGTTGTGGTGATGTTGCACTGCGGTAGTCGCGGGCTTGGCCATCAAGTAGCCACCGATGCCCTTGTAGAAATGGAGAAGGCCATGGCTCGTGATGGAATCGTCGTTAATGATAGACAATTAGCTTGTGCTAGGATTTATTCCAATGAAGGTAAGACTTTCAGCTCGTAATTGAGTACTTTTTGGAAAATTCGCTTTTCAGGTCAGGATTATCTCAAAGGAATGGCGGCTGCCGCTAATTTTGCTTGGGTTAATCGATCTTGTATGACTTTTTGCGTACGACAAGCCTTTGCAAATACATTCAACATGCAACCTGATGATTTGGACATGCAGGTATGTTAAACATCAGGGCCTCCATGATACCATGGTTTTTCAAACAACGTTAGATTCTATGATGGTTTTGGGATGAAAATTTTAAGACTCTTAGGCAGTGGTTGTTTGTGGCTCACAGCTATTAAAACTTCTGTGGTCCTTATATAACATGTTTTTCTCTACAGATCTAGCAAAGAACCAAAAATTTAGCAACTAGCTATCCGATAGAAATAGTTTCTGACATGTAATTTGCCCAGATGATTTACGACACATCCCATAATGTGGCAAAAATGGAAGAACATTTGCTTGATGGTCGACCTGTACAGCTTTGCGTTCATCGAAAAGGAGCTACGCGCGCATTTCCACCACATCATCCTCTTATTCCAGTCGATTATCAATTAACAGGTATAGTAAGATTGATTACTTCAAATCGAGGTTAATCTGAAAATTTGATTTTTCATTTTTTCCCCGAAAATCTTATTTGGACCTTCTATCCGATTTTAGGACAACCAGTACTGATTGGTGGTAGTATGGGTACATGCAGCTATGTACTCACAGGCACAGATCGAGGCATGGTGGAAGCATATGGCACGACTTGTCATGGAGCCGTCAGAATAACTTTCCATGGCGGTTAAAACGAAGATTTCACCTTATTCCTTTTTCAGGGTCGAGCGCTGTCTCGATCAAAGTCCCGCCAAAAGATTCCTTGGACTGAAGTGATTGAAAACTTGAAAACAAAAGGGATTTCTATTCGTTTGGCTTCACCGAAGCTTATTATGGAAGAGGTATGAGAAGTAAAGTTGCGGCTTTTTCATTAGCTACACAATCTCCTTTTTAGGCCCCAGAATCCTACAAGGATGTAACTGACGTCGTCAACACATGTGACACCGCGGGAATTAGCAAGAAAACTGTAAAGTTGCGGCCAATTGCGGTAATTAAAGGTTGAATTCTGCACATGCATCAATAACGGGTGTGCTTTCATCTGGCAAGTTGTAATAGTCATTGCGAATGTTTCTTGTAGTCGCTTTGTTTTCCTTCTCGAACTGTTGGAATGTAATAATTTTTTGTTTTTATTTGAATAGATTTATTTAAATTATTTTAGCTTTATCATATTCTTCTCTTAAATAGATGAGCAATTCTTCAAGGCCAATACCACCTTTAGCTGAGACGAAAAATGTTGGATATTCTTGGAAAAGTAGTCGATTCCTGTCGTTGTTCTCCTGAAAATCCTGAAGTCAGTCAGTTAATCGAAAAAGCTTTACTTTTTGAAAAATATAAGAACTCGCGGAAGGATGGAGATCAATCTTATTGAAAATTATAGCTGTAGGTCGAGAAGATAATCCTTCTCGGTATTCTTCCAATTCTGCTCGCAATAAATCAAATTGTTCCCGAAAATCACCAAGCGTAACGTCAAGCACATAGAATAGACACCTGAATATGAGGCGATTTATCTAAGTTATTGCGCATCTCAAACAAAACCTCCTACCTACACCTCTCAATATGTTTTAGAAAAGAAATACCAAGACCTCGATCTTCATGCGCCCCTTCTATGAGACCGGGAATGTCAGCCACTGTAAAAGCAGGTTTTACTTCTTTTTTTCCCCCTGAAATTAGAAGTCCTACCAGCTATTTGTTCGTAGTCATCATAAAGAACCATTCCCACATGAGGCTTTAGCGTTGTGAATGGATAGGCGGCTACTTTTGGTTTTGCTCGTGAAATTGCTCGAAGTAAAGACCTAAAAAATTGTAAGAACTGTTGAAATTTCAATGAAAGTGAAGAAGAACTTACGATTTGCCAGCATTTGGAAATCCAACTAAACCCGCTGTAGCCATAACTCGCATTTCTACATCGTAAACTATCTAGAAGATTTAATTTGAATAGTATACGCTGGCAGAAGAAGAGTGAATAACTGGACCTCTTCCCCACGACCGCCAACCTCTGCCTTGAATGGTTTTCGAACATCATTCGATACGTAAAATTGATTTCCATGCCCTCCAGCACCCCCACGTGCTCCCAAGAAAACCTGATAAGTGCTTTAAAATTTAAGGACGAGAAGATCTATGTATCTCACATCGCCCTCGTGCTCTAGCTCAAACACAACTTTGCCGTCATTTTTGAAAAGCGTGCCAACAGGCACAGGTATCTAAATGAAGGAAGGTATATGGTAAAGATTTAAGTTACTTTTGAAAACTCAACCTCAAGGTGCTCAGCAGATTTCCCATGGCAAGATTTTGATCCTCCAAACTCTCCTCGCTCAGCTCTTTCTACTGATTTCAGATGTGAAAGATCTTTAGTATGTGTGGAAGCTAAAAATTCGGCGTTAATTTACCTAAAACTAGGACTACATTTCTTTTGCAGAGGTTCTGCGAAAATTGCGCAAGTTTGCAAGACTTTTTTGAAATTCTTTATAAAGTTAAATAATATGTCATATGATATAATAGAAAACAATGGAAAAAAATGTAAAAGATCTGCTGAAACTTTTATGACTCCGTCACAACAGGTTTTGAGCAATAATCGTATCGGTACGCTATAAACTAATAACATACCTTTAAACAGAACGTGACCACCGTTCCCACCATCACCGCCGTCCGGTCCACCGAATGGATTACGATAACCCCTAAAAACTTTATAGCTTCCAACAGGTTTCGCCTGTTTTTTTCGTTCTTGAGAAATGCAATTGAGATCCCATAAATACGGTCACACCTGAAGAAAGAGACCATGCCGTCGCCTCCATTTCCAGCTATACATTTAACGCGACGATAATCAACGAATGTACCAGCCTGTGATTTTGCATAAGTAATGAGAATAATTTGCATAAAAATAGTTAGAATGACCAGTAAATGAATTTGAGGAATCTACCTCTCCTGATGATCTTGGCTTTTTTGGCAGTATTGGCCTTTTGGTGATGGATGAAGTTGCTGAACCAATGCATCGACATAGTGCCCCAAAAATGGTCCGCGGTTGAAGCATAGAGCTGTTCTGATGTATTTTTTCTTGACCTTTTGTAAATTATTCAAAAATATTGGCAGTTTTGAGAATTTGCCGAAGGGAAGCTAAGTTTTTGGATTTTAGTTCAAAAATTCATGTTTTTGCAGCTTTTGTAAAAAAATTGAAACTTATTCTAAGATTAAGGATATTA